GTCTTAAAAGAAAGTAGTAGCTGCAGCAGTATTTTGTAATAAGACTGGTAGTACGTGGTAGCTGCTCTGAGAATGCCCACCTGATAGAATCCCAAAGAAGGCATAGAAAAATGCATCGGCTCCCTGATAGGTTTTTGAATGAGCAAACTATTGAGTAGATTGATAAATCCTGGCAAAAATCAGGCATATATGTTTCAGAGCATATGCAGACGTAAAGATTTCAGATGCACCTGAGTCCTTAATCGTAAAAAGCTAATTTAGAATGGTTTTAAAAGTAGAATATTCTGTCTAGATCAACAGTCAGAGGGGCTAGTGGTGTTCACGTCAGGGCAGGAAAGGAAGGAAAAAGGACCTAGAATGATCATTAGTTTTGAGCAAGTTTAAAATTAAGGCAAGCTGCTAGATTTTATGATATGGGGCTGGTTTTTGTAAATTCCCTTAAATGGGTATTTGACATTCAGTAGAACTGATTGTTGATTATGATAGAATATTTGCTTACATATTTTGGTATCTAATTCTGACTATTAGCAGTGAAATGTCAAGCTCTCTTAAGCAGGGAAAGGCTTTATGAGTTCATATGTGTAACAATTCAAATGCTTAAGAATCAAATACCTGTTGACAGTTTTGGTTTTTCTTCCTGCAGATGAGTACAAATGTTAAGGAAGTAGTATTTGCAGTGTTTCCTAATTACTACATTTTTATATTATTTTAGGTACTGGATATAAATCTAAAGAGCTAGACAGTCTTGCTGAAGGCCAAACACTGATGGTTGGAGGAAAAGAAATTGAAGTGATGGGTGTAATTTCAGCAGATGACTTCAGCAGTGGCAGGTGTTTTCAGAGTGGAATAGGGATTCATGACACAGTCCCAACTGCTTTATCTCAAACTAATATGAAGCCATTCTGCAAACCATTCAAAAGAGCCTGCCAGTCCAATACTAAAGAGAATATACTCAAAGATTCCCAAAGCTACAAACCTCGCCACGATCCAAATGCTCCAAGTAAGATTCAGATTTTTAAGTTTCTTTAAGAATCCTCTGGCTCTAAAAGTTGAATGTGTAATGTCAAATTTTCTTGTTCCACAATGTATTACTAAGGTATTTCTGACATACAGTGCTAGTGTTTCTATCAATATCATGTTAGGATTTTATTGTGTGTGTTTCTAATGGGTGGAATGCTCTGCACTGCATAAAGTTTCTCATCGTTGTTACAGCTGGCTGTAGAAATAAGTTAGAGTGATTTCTGAGAGTTTTGCTGAGAAAAATTAGCATATTGATCACAGAAACAGTTTGACACAGGTTAAAAGGTCTAGGTGAGTTCCAGCTTCCCACTGGGGTCAGTGAGAGAGTGACATAATATAGTAGCACAGTAATTACAGTGGAGGATCAGTAATAGAGAGGTTGAGCCAGATTCAGAGAATTGCTTCTGATAGTGCCTGATCCTTCACAGCCAGCGATTGTCACTGCACTGCCCAAACTCAACCAGATACATTTTGGAATAAAAGTTTTGTTTTATAATACTAGAAATACCATGTCCTGGAGAGCCATGAGAGTTCACAAATTGCATAGAAACAGGCTGGTTAAGCAGTGGTATAAGAGGGATCCTGAAAACATCTGATAGTTGCAGGAAGTGGTGTCACTTATCTAAATGAGAAGTACTCTCTTGTCTGTCGGAAACAAACCATTTAGGAGCTATATTCTGCAGATGGCTTTATCTCTCAGAGGGAAGACAAAAATGAGTTTAAAAAAATTATACTAAGCAGAGCAATGCATATTAAAAAAAATACAAGTTTCTTCTACATTCTTACTGTAGTTATACCTCCATCCTACTTCTTACCTCATATCCTGGTACTAACGGACTTTTCAAAGCTGCTACCTGGCTTCTATGGAAACAAACAAATCCCAATCAAGTGGTAATTAGTGATATTGTTGGCCCTTTTGTAAGAACAGCCTTGTTAACACCAGCTTCTGGTCTGAATTCAACTTATGTTGTGTCTAAGAATGTTCCTTCCTGTGGTTGCAGGATGATACTACATTAGCTTTCTAAGCTAAAATCTGGCAAAGACCTCATTGATACATTCAACACTCAAATTAACTTCTTTGTTGTTTTTGCACACGTCTGTCAAAAACTTATGGTTTATTCTAGTTCTTTGTCTCCTGTGACTTTTCTTACGGTGAATATGAGTACCTCCTATGAGATTTCCCTAAACTGCCTGATATGGAGAGCCCTCACCACATCAGTAGGGTGGACTCCCATTCATTAGTGTTGATTACACAGGAGAATCGCATATTTATTTAACATGTTGTTGCATAAGCTCTTTCAGAAATTATGGAGATACTTTCCTAGACCAGAACCTTGGGACTGGAGCATTCAGAGGTTTTCACGTTGAGATCTATGCCAGTAGTCAATTAAAATGCAGCTTCTTCAAAATGGAAAGCCATTTATCCTTGTGCTCAGCAGAACAGAGCACAGTGACAAAGGTGTAAAGCTGTGTTTTCTATGTATGATTTCTAAGCTTTTAGTCCATTGCTCATCTAAGCCTTGTTTCTTCCTGTGCTAATTTTGGCTGGGATAGAGTTAATTTTCTTCACAGTACCTAGGAGGAGGCTATGTTTTGGATCTGTGCTGAAAACAGTGTTGATAACACAGGGGTGTTCTCATTACTGCTGAGCAGTGCTCACACAGCTCAAGGGCTTTTCTGCTTCCCACCCCACCAAGTGGGCTGTGGGTGCACAAGAAGCTGGGAGGGGACCCAGCTGGGACAGATGACCCCAACTGACCAAAGGGATATCCCACACCGTATGGTGTCATGCTCAGCATATAAAGCTGGGGGAAGGAGGAAAAAGGGGTTGTTGTTCAGAGTTAGGTCATTTGTCTTCCCAAGTAACCGTTACGTGTGCTGGAGCCCTGCTTTCCTGGAGGTGGCTGAACACCTGCCTGCCCATGGGAAGTAGTGAATGAATTCCTTGTTTTGCTTTGCTTGTGCACGCAGCTTTTGCTTTACCTATTAACTATCTGTATCTCAACCCACAAGTTTTCTCATTTTCACTCTTGCAGTTCTCTCCCCTGCCCCACTGGGGTGGAGTGAGTGAATAGCTGTGTCGTGCTTATTGCTGTCTGGGGTTCAACCATGACACTTCCCCATCTCTGAGGCTGAGGCTGCAAAAATTTGCTCAGAAAAGTTATCCTTTTGTCACCACTGGTGCTTATATATACAGGCGTGCAATTTGATGTGATCTCTGAGAACTCAGCCATTTGTCAGTAGGAAACAAAATCTCCCTGAATGATGCAAGCTGTCAACCAACCTATCCCCCTGAATAAATTATCAGTATATATCTACTCTAGTGACACAACAATACCAGCAGCTATAAATTGCTTTCTCATTTTGTCCTCTGACAATACAACTTTTCAGTGAGGATCAGTATAAGCAATCCAGTGTGGACATTGTCTAGCAAAATTATGATGTTAGAGATTGTAAACAAATTATGGCAAGAAAAACTGTTATTTAGATGTAGCCAAAGGACATATCCCAATATTTCATGCTCTCTTTGCCTCTGTATGTCTACAAACCTGTCAGTTTATTTTATTCATGCACTGTGGCAGCCTTTGTCAGCTCACTCTGAATCCTTCCCCCTTTTTTTTTTCCTAACAAATTGTTGTCTTTTTATCTCTGCTTCTCTGGCAGAGAAGTCTTTCTGGGCAGCTACAAGAATATCCCCTTGAAATGTAGTGTCTAGACTTTATGTAGGTTAATAACTTTTTATGTTATTTTTCTTAAACTTTCCTTTAAGAAGCTTTTAGAACTTCTTCTGATTTAACTCTATGCATTCAAAATTGTCTTGCAACATTTATTAGGTAGGCAGTTTCACTTCATCATAAAAAAATACTCTGATTTCTCAGTTTGTCACCTTTACTTTTGACAAAAGTATGATCTCTTGGGGAAACCTCTCTAAGAGGACTTTTTATTTAAAATACTATCTACATGCCCTGTTGGTAAATCCATCTTCTGTCTGAGAAGGGTCAATGAATTAAACAGTATTTTCAGCAGTCATTAGAACATTGACTTTATTCTGTAGCAGAGTTAGAGAAATAATACCCTTTGCTAACAGACTAAAAATAATGTTTTTGTGCAATACCTGCATATGTTTTGAACTTCAAGATTCTCTAGTTATGCCAAGACCAAATGCAAGTCATCAGTGGACATTCAATAAGGCTGATTTACCTGTGGTGGATGTAGTTGTGGACCCTTACATTGCAAATAATCTCCGACCGCATCAGAAAGAAGGAATTATATTTCTATATGAATGTGTAATGGGAATGAGGTAAGATGATAATTATCTTTTTGGCTTTCAATACTTGTAATATTTTCATGCCCATGTTTGAAATTAAACAATTTGAAGGGGAAGATTTGAGCAATTGTTCAATTAATTCATATTAGTAATTTTCCCCAGTAAAGGTTGCACAGTTTTTTTTCTGACCTGCGTGTAGCATCATGCTTGCTGTGACTTTGCCAGATACGATGAGAAGTTAGCGCACAAAAATGCCTGTCAGTTCTACTGCAGATATGAAGTCTTGTAAACATGGATACAATCTAACCCATGCTAAAGTACACCGCTTTCTGGGATTTATAATTCATATAATTCATAATTCTTATAATTTATAAATCAGGCATTTAGAATAAAGAAGCTTTTATACCAACATGTTGAGAAAAATACAGTACTATTTTCAAAAGTTTTTTCTCAAGTCATAGATTCCTTAAGGTATGTACAAGTTTTAAAAATATTAGATAATATTTTTAATTCTAAAAGAAGATTTAAACTATCTAGGTTTGGAGGACTAATGTGTTAATCTAGAAAATGAGGAATTTCACTGTAAGGTATAACTGAATGAAAACCTGCAGTAAAGCATGATAAGCATAAATAGGTTCTTTATACTCCAGAAAACAACCACAAGAAGCAATTCCCTAAACCAGTTGTAAATAATTATATATATGTCTTTTAAAATGTTACCACCACCTAATTATATCTTACAGGGTTAGTGGCAGATTTGGAGCTATTCTTGCTGATGAAATGGGCTTAGGAAAAACGTTGCAATGCATTGCAGTTGTCTGGACTCTTCTGCGTCAAGGGGTCTATGGTTGCAAGCCTGTACTAAAGCGAGCACTAATTGTCACCCCTGGGAGTCTGGTAAAAAACTGGAAAAAAGAATTTCAGAAATGGCTGGGAAGTGAAAGGATCAAAGTCTTTACAGTTGATCAGGTAAGATTTCTTTCCAAAAGGGGATTAGGTTGTATTTGACTCAGAATATAGGATTTGTGGTTTTTTTTTTTCCTCTTTTTTATTTTTTAACCAGAGACCAAAACTAGTAATTCTCTGTTAATATTTATTTGTAGTACTTTATTTCTCCCTGAGGTAATTGTCCATATGGACATTTAGCTGTCAGTACCAGGTCATAACTCAAGCTCACTTGCCTGTCTAGCGTAGGTCTGTCTTATCTTTCCTCAGGCTTCACCTTTGAAGATGTAAAAGGTGACATGCTCCTCCATGTGCCTCTTCAGTTTAAGGAAGAGTTTTCTGTTATCTATCAAAGTGCACACCTTCCCTGCTTTATGTACCGGAGAATCTACCTTGACTGGCTTGTACTCCGTTTCTGGGGTAGTTGCTTTTCTTCTGTACTGAAAACTTTGTTGTCTTTGTTTTGTCTGTCTGTTTCAGACTATTTCAAAAGGTTATTCCCTTTACTGTCACTGTCAAGAATGAGGTTTATGTAGAGAAGATTTAAAGTCTCATGAGTTACCAAGCCTAGAGGCTCAGTGTTAGATAACGGGAATATCTTATCTCTAGAAGAAAGCAGACAAGTACAAATCTTAATGAAGGAGCTGATGATGCTGATCCCTGTCCCTCCTATAGTGGAGGTGTTCCCCCTTGTAATGACACTCCCAAGTTCCTGTAGGGCCTGGATGAATCCCATGTGCTGATGAAGTATTTAATATTTTAATTTCCTTGGTATACCTTTAGGGTTTTGCCTTTGGTTTTGAAACACAAAACTCTCTGTCCTTTACTGCAAAGACTAAAAGTTCTAGTGCAGACTCTGCTTCAGTGATTGTTCTTGGCCACATCAGACAGGAAAGCACCTGGCAAAGTAAAAGACGGTGGAGTTCAAGGAGTGAGGCTGTAGTATCACTCACTGAGAGCTTTCTCTGGAGGAGAGCCACATCTTGCTCTGGTTATCCATTAAGGGTTTCTTGCCATGTATATTTTCCTGTTAAGCGTGGCTCAGTATCTCAGTCAGAGGGTTGGGTCCCCTCAGGACCGACGTTCTTGAAGCTGTGAACAGGAGACTTGCTCATGCCTCTGTTAACGCTTCTGAAGCTTTCAAATTCGAACCCTGCTTTTTTATAATTAACCATCCAGTATTTCTTTTCCTAAGACTTCTGGTCCTCATGTCCATATGGAGCGCGCACTCATAGCAGAAAGGAAAGAGAAGTTGTTTAGCAAACTGTGGCTTTCTGCATTGGTGCTTGCAACAAGGATAAAGATATTTATTTTTCAAAGTTATTTTTTAATCTACTAGTTCCATACAAGTACACTGAAGAAACAAAGGGTGCTGCATTCTGAAGATGACCCGATTCTTGCATCAACCAGATTTGGTTTTAGTTTCTTGCATTATCCTTATTGTCTGTATGGAAGAGTGAATGTTTCAGATGAAATGAAAGTTTTCAAACTGTTTTAAAATTCTTTTGTAGAGTGTACAAGGATTTGTAACAATAATTATTTGAGTTCCAGTCATTATTGTCAAACCTTTGAAATTACATCACCTGCTCATCTTCCACTGAGGACAATCCACATGTAATAGATGCTCTTTGCATCATTTGCTTTTCTTAGTTACTTGTTTCAAAATGTAGAAATGAAACAAACTTACTTGTCAGGAACTGTAATGTAATATAGGTTAGGATGAGAAATATGGAAGTTTCTAAAAGAAGTGAATACAAGACAAAATATAACATGGCAACATTTTTACTTGAAAAGGTAGTTAGAAATAATTGAATATTTTCTTTCAGTTTTTATGAATAATGTTGGGAGGAGAAAACCTGAATTTGCTGACAGTTACTATGACCCAAAATTACAGTTGCTTTCATTTTCTTTTAATTTAAATAACTAATATTCTTACTCATCTCATTGGATCCATTTGGATTGAGGGCACTCAGCAGCTTTTAAGATTGTGTTTCCAAATAGCAAGGAATACATTGTCATGCAAAAGGAAGACACAATATGACTTGCCTGGGGTGTAATGAGGTATTTCAAAATAATTTACTGTCTATCTTCTCTGGAAAAACAGCAATTACCATACTGTTATTTCTCCAGTATAACTTAAAAGGAAGAGCTTGTCTCAAAGGTTTTTTTCTATTGCCTATAAATAACACATCCAAAGAATTGGAAGACTTTTTAAAATGTGTTAGGTACGTTTTCCTCACTTTCGTGCTGAAACACTGCGAACTGATCCTAACCCTTCAGTAACAGACTCTTCAAAAAACCAGGACAATATCTGCTTTTAAAATGTGATTTCAGTTTACTTCTGTTAAAATGCAAATGCCATGTAGAGGATATTGCTTTTAAAATGAAGGCCTCCCCACAAAGGTTGCATTTGGATCTCATTAATCCGTGTTATCAGCGTTTGAGACGTGTTTGAGAGAATAACTCCTTTATCTGTTTGCAGAACATCACTTCTGTTGGGCTTGGTTTGTTTTTTAAGTCAAAATAACTGGAGAATTGATTAATTCAAGGTTTGCATGGTTTCATGATTCAGCATTTTTTAATTTACACTGTCCTGACTATATTGGATTTACACTAGTGCAAAGAAGGATCTGTTCAAAGAGTAAGGCTGGGACATTATGGGGCTCTAATACTGATTGACAGTTTCTCCATATGTAGCCCCGGGCAACTCACTTAAACCTGTGAAGTCACTTTGGGTAATTGTGAAAAAGGAGGCTATCATACATACATATTATGCAGCCAGTTAGGAGGATAAATTAATTACTTGAAATTAGCTTGTAAATTTATTTTAATTTGTAGTTCATCATCCACTGCTGTTGTTATATACCGCAGTGAATACACTATATTTGGCTGCAGGGGGCTTGTCAGGACTCTGCTGCTTTTTTTTCAGGGGTCCAGAAGAGGTAATGATTTACCAGGGGAGCGACACTGGAGGCAGTTCCCCAGTGCCCCCGCCACTTTCCCTATAGTTCCAGCTCACACCCAGAAAGTGTAATAAAACAAAATAGTTTCTGAACCCTGGGCATCTTCTGATGCTTGACGATCCCAAGAGAAGGTCAGAGAGGCATTGCATTTGTCTTCAGGGCTGCAACGTGGAGCCTGAACACTGGGCAGGGACAACACTGAGTGCTGCCTACAGGGCTCCTCTGTCTTCCTGTGTTGGGAAATTTTCTGCTCCTGTTTTGAAACTGGCAGTAAAAATACCGGCCAGAAAACTGGCCAGAGAAGAACAGGAATGCTCAGGTCCAAACACCTGGGGAACCTGGGGCATGCCCTTGTTACCTGCTCCTCACTGCTCCTTGCTTCCCCTGATGTGTGAGCAGCATGTGGGCACTGATCTGCCACAAGGTACTTTGTGAGATTAATGTGCCAGATTTGGCCCATAGATTCATCTGAATCACCTGCTAGGAGGCTCTAAAGGTTGTGATAATTAAGTGGTGCTGCTTTTACAGTGTATTACACCATCTGGCTCCAGAATTAGTTGTCTGTGTTTGGTAACTGATCTTGTTTGGAAATAAAAATACCTTCTGAAGCTCTAGCTTGATTTTTTTTTCACAATTAAAGATATTCTTCAGCTTGTTAGCTGGGCCCGTAGCCTGCTTAGTTAATGAACACTGTTAGGAAATAGGAAGGAGCGTGCAGGGAATTACCATCTGGAGCTAAGTGGAAAGTTACGGGACACGCCCTCGGTAGGTTTTTCCATCTTTATGCGTACTTGCAAAACAAGTAAGCAATCCTAGTACACTCACAAGTCTGTACAGAAATGTAACTATTTCTAGGAAACTTTTTTGGAAGAAGCTCCCCATCCCATTACAGTGACTTTTTAAATTAGTGTGTCTCTTTTTAAAGCTGGTTTTGACTCTAAGGTCTAGAACTGAGCAAGTCCTATTTTGTTCAGACTCGAGTGCTGTCATATGGGCAGCTCTTCCTGGTTTTCCTTGTTGTCATATTTGGTAATAAACAAGTAGACTCGGTTCTGGTTATTTTTTTTAGGAGTTCAGCAAAAGTCTTGTTGTCTGTTGAAGGAAAAGTGTTTGGAGGGTATGTAAGGGTGAAGGGGCTCATGGCCATTTTCTAGTAATACACTGTTTAGAAATTAATTGCATTTATTTACTAATAGACAGGCATGTTTTTGGGGCTAGTTTTGGGCTCTGTTTTCTGAGTCCCAGGCTGCCCTTACCTGTTGGCCAACCCATCCATGTTAAGGGCTTGTAACAAAGTTAATACCATATTCAATTCAAAACTACAAGAGGAATTTTAGGTTGGTGGACTCTGGTAACTTCCTACTGGACCACATTACTGCACCCTGCAGCTTGAGATCCCAAAGTAAACGTACAGGCAACTACTTATGCCTCTTTGTTGTCTTGGCTTTAATTATTCATTTGAAGCTTACCTAAATGCCAGGAGCGGGAAGCTGTTACAGGGAGCCTGTGCTTTTCACCTTCACGGTAATGTGTCTCAAAGGATTTGAAGGCCTGAAAGAATAATAAATTTTCTTTTAATGAGGTGTTAAAACTCTAAATTGCTGTATCAGATCCCATACTTCCTTTGCAAATTAGGAATCAATAATCCAGACTCATGGAGGAGATAGTAAATGTCTTGTGTCGTGCTAGAAAAATTTCTGTAGATACTGGATGTTTAAGGAATAGGATGAGTGATCTCAAAAGAAATAGTTGTATGATATATTTTCCTTTATACCTGCAGGACCACAAAGTAGAAGAATTCATCAGTTCTCCGCTTTATTCAGTTTTGATAATCAGTTATGAGATGCTACTGCGATCTTTGGATCTAATTCAGGCTATAGAATTTAACCTCCTAATCTGTGATGAAGGACATCGTCTGAAAAACAGCTCTATTAAGACAACTACATCCCTCACCAGTCTGTCTTGTGAGAGGAGAATTATCCTTACTGGTTAGTATCTATCGCTGCTTCTGATATTTAGCTATGCTTCTGATATTTAGCCATGCTAATAGTATTAGGTTGGGGTAAAGGAAAAAGCTATTGTAAGTACGGCAGGAGCATAGTATACATTTTGGCAATGGGTATTAAATGCACAAATCTCGAGTCTTGTAAAAATGAATTATTTCCTTTTTTTTTAAATAAATGCAAAATTTGTCTAACTTCAGGGACAGGCAAGGAGCCTGGAAATTTTTTAAGGGAATCAGAACTCTGTTTATACATACTCATTGTTTTCCTTTGTAGTTATTTAATAAAATTTATTTAGAACTTGACTTTTTAAATTCCTTTGTCAAAGCTACTAGATGTGCAATCTGTTTAGTTAGGAGGACACTAGTTTATTAATCATGACAAAGTTCTAGATTAATTCAGTACCCTGAATAATTTACATTGAAACAAAACATCTGTTTTCAGGTTGTATTCTCAGCATTAAAGCCTGCATTCAATGCTTGTACTTCTGTCATTTTAAAGAAAAAATTAATAAACGGAGAACTATTTTTTGCTCTTTCCAGGTACTCCAATCCAAAATGACTTGCAAGAATTTTATGCCTTAATAGAGTTTGTGAATCCAGGAATACTTGGTTCTTTATCCACATATAGAAAGATATATGAGGAACCGATTGTCAGATCTAGAGAACCTTCAGCAACAAAGGTATATAATTTAAAAAAATGCACTTATAGAAGAAAATTTGTAGACAGCACTGTGAAATTTGCTTTCTATGGAATAAAATAAAGTTCAAGACTAATAGTAGCAAAAGCTTTTCACCTTCCTATTTGAAATAAATTGTTCTCCAAAGGGACATGGAGGAATACACGCAAGTTGAGATCACGGCATTTCAGCTGCCTGTTAATTATCAGGCAAAAATTGTTCTTCTAACACCTTGCATTCCCAAAAATGCTATGCAAATTACCATATGACAATACTTAATTCATTTTTAGTTTCTCCACAGTACTGCAAAATCTGCATGATTTTATTGCTTCAATCAAGAAATTCTAGAATATAGTTCAAACCTTGGGTATCTCCTGGGACATTATCTTCCTTTGTATAAGACTTTAGAAGCCAGATGTAGAAGTAAGCTAATGCACTGGTACTACTTGGAGAAGAACTGATCAGGACAGTCCCATGTCAGAAAGTGGTGTCATACATTTAAAACATTCTTTAGCTACCTAACCAAAATCATACAGAAAATTATTGTGATGAAATGCAAGGTTATCTTTAATTTTGTTCTTTGTTCCTTTAGGAGGAAAAGGAATTAGGAGAAAAAAGAGCAGCAGAACTCACACGCCTCACTGGACTCTTTATTCTTAGGAGAACACAGGAGGTGATAAACAAATTTCTGCCCCCCAAGAAGGAGAGCATAATCTTCTGCCGACCAACAGCACTGCAACTTGAATTGTATCGAAAACTGCTTAGTTCTCAAGTTATTAGGTCTTGTCTACAAGGCAGGATAGAAAACAGTCCTCACCTAATATGTATAGGAGCCTTGAAAAAACTTTGCAATCATCCATGTCTTCTGTTTAAAGCTATAAAGGTATCTATTTGCATGGGGGTGTGTGCCTGCAATTATCATTTTAGCAGGCAAAGGTCACTAAAACTATGTTACAGTCAATGTGTGTGTTACTTAAGGTCATTTCCATACTCTCTTCTCACATACAATTTGCTTTAGGAGATCTGCTTTCAAAAACATAAATGTTAGGAAATCTGAATGTATTCAGGGGTATCTCACCAGTTTCGTATCGCCTTATGGTATTTTCTTGTTCTTCATGTATTTTCTCTCTTAATCTTGTCTCTGAATATTTGTAAAAATACATATAAATGTGAATTTTACAAAGAGCGCTGTTAGCTAGAGATTATTCTATGTACTCTGTCTACTGGTTCTTCTGAAATCTTCCTGTCCACATGATAATCTCACTCTCACAAGCTCAGTGACACTGGGAGCTACAGGCTCGAGATGTCAGTATTAAATGTCTTCATTCCCACTTCTCCTGGGATCCTATCACACTGTGCACCTTGTTATTTCTGTGGAAATATTCTCATTCCTATAGGTAAATAATGTGATAGTTAGAACTTGGTAATACTCACTTCTGTGGCCACTAGTCAAAGTCCAAGGAAGGGGAGTGGAAATGTAAATTTCTCTTAAAAAGATGTTCATTCCTTGTGGATGTCCACAGCACAGGCCTCCCTGTGATTTTCAGTACTGCCAAGCAAAGTTCATTGCCTTTACATCATAGTGTAAGCATTAGAAAATTTTCATATGTGAGAGGCCAGTCGTCTGTTAACGCCATGGTTTTGGCGTTTGAGTAGTTTGGCTTTTTCTCCCTGTGAAACATTGATTTTCAAATTACAGCAGAATATTACCTGTATTTCTTATATTATATTGTTTTTACTTGTTGACTCTTCTTCGTTTTCAGTTGCATAATAGCATCTTCCGAAAAAAAAGTAAATGACTGGGAAGTTCCATAATAAGGTATTATGGAATTTAGAAAGAATAAAGAGGATATTGATTTTTTTCCCCAAGTTTTAGATAGAGCGTTGCTGTAGGTGTACCTCTCTGTGGTTGTTTAATTAGAGAAGCAGAAGTAAAACACATTTTTCAGTTTCAAGTACTTCAACTTTCTGCTCAGCTGCAAACAGCATCTTAGGTTAGAGGTTATAAACCAAAATAAACGCTATCAGTATTTTAAAACTGTGCTTTCAATCCAGTATTGGGAGGTTGTCATGCTCACATGATACACTACTTTGTGGCAGCTTTTGATGCCTCCTGTTGTCTTTGTAAGAAAAATATAGCAAACTTTAAAAAAACCCAAAGCATATTAAAGGGGATGTGGAGCTTGAATCCTTTTATTTTCAATAGGAAAAAAGCTGTGATCCTATGTCTGATGAACACGATGAGTCCAGTCTCTATGAAGGTCTAATAGACGTCTTTCCACAAGATTATACTTCGGATACTTTCTCTGAAACTGATTCAGGAAAATTGCAGGTGCTGGTGGAGTTGTTAGCAGCAATCCGTGAGCTCAACTCTTCTGAAAGGCAAGTGCCAAAGAAAGGTAAAAGGGAAATAACGCGATATGGTTTTGCTTTTCAAATGCGCGGGGATGTAATATTCAAAATAAAGCCATTGCAACTGTTTGCAGAGGTACCAAGAATGTTTATGCATTGTACTCTAGGCTGTTCCTTGTTAAATTACTAAACTGGGATTTTCAGCTGAAATCATTTTCAAAGTTGCTCTTCATATTTTTTCCAGATAAAAATCCTTGTATTTTTCGTACTGAGCTCCAGCAACTAAGTTTGCTACAACCCCTGTACTATGACATATTATCTTGACTTGCAAAGTCTTTCCAATGCTTTGTATCTCCTTGAGGAGATGTATTAACGTATTAAATATTTTAATTTGCACTAAAATGTTTGTAATTACTAGATTATAAATTCTTTTCTCTTTAATCATGTTTAACTGCTTAGTGCTTGCTGCCTTTTCTGCTCAGGGCAACCAGACTCAGCAGGTGAACCTGCACAGCAGCTGCTTATTTCTCCTGCGGTAAATGCCACTGGCATGTAGGAAAACCTCTGTTTGTCATGGGGTAATAGGATGCACATGGTTAGTTACTGTAGAATTGCTGATTCATGGAAATCTCACATGACCTTCTATCCCATGATAACTTTTTTATGTTCTCATGCCTTAAAGCCCAGCTATTCCAAAAGTATTGAGCTTTTAACTATTATTTAAATAGATGATTAAATGGGACATGCTGTAATTCAGTAGCAGTAACAGCAGATATCTTGGCACTGATGTAATGGAATTTGTTTGTTCCTTATGCTCTCTCTTTACAAACCAGAAAGCTGAGCCTATTGTTGGAATTTATATGCCTAACATCCATTGGAAACAGTGACAGCTAAATTTCTAAACGGACTGGCTTTATTTCTTGTAGGTCAAAAGAAACAGGGTTATCAGGAAAAAGCATCTTTCCCTGTATCAGTGCTATAGGAGCTACTGAGTTACAGCTGCTGCAGAGGCATTATTTTACATCTTTAAAACTTTTGTTGCTTTAATTCAGTGCTGATCATATTTCTTTTCTTTTTTTTTTCTCTGATCACATTAGTACTAAATAGTTTTTTGCTGTATACAGACTCAATTCCAGTCCTTTTACATTTTTGAGTAAAAATAAAGGTGTGAATTTGGGGTTG